CTGCTGCCTGTGGGAGCCCACGCTGCCCTCGCTGGTGTGCAGGGACAGAGGATTACCAGCTGAACAGCGAGTGCAACAGCGACGTCATCTGCCCCCCCAAGTGCCGCTGCGAATCTGGTGTGGTCGAGTGCTCCAACCTGAAGCTCACCAAGATCCCAGAGCGCATCCCGCAGTCCACGGCTGAGCTGTAAGAACCTCTTCCCTCCCACCCCGCTTTCCCTCCTGCAGCCGGAGCATCGCCAGCACTGGGGTTTGGCTCAGGGTTTGGTCTGTGCCAGGCCCTTCGCAGCCATCTCCTGAGCTCTTTTCCCTGCCACCCACCTCAGGCGCCTGAACAACAATGAAATCTCCGTCCTGGAGGCCACTGGCATCTTCAAGAAACTCCCGCATCTGAAAAAGATGTGAGTATAGGGAAGGCACAGCCCCATCGGGAGTGCCCAGGGGCTGGGAAGGCACGTGTGGGGGTCCTGATGCCAGGGCAGCCTGGGGCATGAAATGGGGGGCATGTCCCAACCCAAGGGTCCCCTGAGGGCATCACGGGATGCTTGCTGGGACCTGGGAGAGGCAGCATTCAGGATGAGACCATGGCAGAGCCCCCCATCCCAGCCTGCTTTCCCTTCTCCTCAGCAACCTCAGCAACAACAAGGTGTCTGAGATCGAGGACGGGGCATTCGAGGGGGCATCCTCCGTCAGCGAGTTGCACCTCACTGTCAACCAGCTGGAGTCGGTGCGGAGCGGCATGTTCAGGGGCCTAGACGGGCTGAGGACCCTGTGAGTCCCCCCTCCACCATGGGCACAGGGACGGGGATGCCCCTGCTCCTTGCTCCCCTGCCCTGCCCGTGCTGCCGGGCTGGTGCTGTTGGCATCGCTGCAGGCCTGGCTCAGGAGCACCTTACCCGTCCACTGGCCGGGGCAGGGGTTGGTTTTTGCTGCTCAGGGTCTGGTTCAGGCTCGTCCTGCTGCCCGGCAGCGAGGTGGGCAGAGCCTGGGCACTGCCAAGGTGGGTTTTCCCCATGGCACCTGCCCAGGTTATTAGGTGCTGTCGTCCCCTTCCCTCCACAGGATGCTGAGGAACAACCGCATCAGCTGCATCCACAACGACAGCTTCACGGGGCTGCGCAACGTCCGCCTGCTCTCCCTCTACGACAACCAGATCAGCACCATCGCACCGGGTGCCTTTGACACGCTGCAGTCCCTCTCCACGCTGTACGTCTTGGGCCCCAGGGGGGATGCTGCCAAGCTGTCCCCATCGCAGCAAGGGGCTGCAGAGGGTCCCCTTGCCTGGTGGCCTCTCAGGTGATGCCCTCGTGCTCGCTCCTGTGTGCAGGAACCTGCTTGCCAACCCCTTCAACTGCAACTGCCAGCTGGCCTGGCTGGGGGACTGGCTGCGCAAGAGGAAGATCGTGACGGGGAACCCGCGGTGCCAAAACCCCGACTTCCTCCGGCAGATTCCACTCCAGGACGTGGCTTTCCCCGACTTCAGGTGTGAGGAAGGTAACTCACGGGCCCCATGGAGCTGGGTGTGAGGGGGAACCGGGCTGCCTCTCCTGGGCTGACACCACGCTCCCTTTCCCAGCACCACCCCTGCTCCCAGGATGTTCGGCAGTGCCCCGCGGCAAGCCGGTAGCTCAGGGGGTCCCTCAGCCCGTTAACGTGCTCCCCTAATGATGCATGAGTTTCCCTCCCTGGTACCCAGCCCTTAGGGCTGCACTCAAATACCCACGAGCTGCTCTGAAGCCGGAAGAGGAGTTAGCACCCACTGCACCCCATGGCCCTTGTGGGTAGGCAGGTCCCTGTTGGCATATGCTGTGCCCTGGGTGCTGGCAGGAGCAGATGTGTAGGCAAACCCCACCAGGATTCATCCTGCTCCTTCCATCCTTCCCTTCCCAGCCCCTCACACATGCCAGAGCTGGACAGACGGAGCAGGCGGGGAGTGCGCATGTTGAGAGAAAAGCCTTTTTTAAATTTTTTTTTTAATTTAGAACAGCTTTTGAGCCCTCTGGAAAATATTTACAAACAAATCATCATTTCTTCTGCTTTCCCTCCTCCACCATGTCAAAGACTGAAGGGTTGCATCCTGCGCCTTTCCTAACGGTGTGAGATAACATACGGTTGTCCCGGGGACGCCTCTCCCGCAGGAGCCCAGCGCTGCGGCGGGGAAGGGGAAGCAATGCCGGCTGCTCGGCGCAGGCACCTCTCCCTCTAGCCTGTGTCTGGGGGACGGGTGAAGGGCGGGTATTTCAGGAGGATTTGCAGGGCTGAACCCCTTCTTCAGGGTGGGCTCTGATGACGTGTGGCTCTCTGTGCCTGGTTCAGGTCAGGAGGAGACCAGCTGCATCCCCCGGCCCCAGTGCCCACAGGAGTGTACCTGCCTCGACACCGTTGTCCGCTGCAGCAACAAGCACCTCAAGGCCCTGCCCAAGGGGATCCCCAAGAATGTCACAGAGCTGTGAGTGTCGGGCGGGTGCCCAGGCTTTCCCCCGACTGCCAGCGACTTTGCGGCTCTGTGTGTGGGGGTCTCTGCTGTGGGGTTGCAGATGTTGGGGCAGAGATGCACCCACCCACACCCCTATCCTGGATGGGTAGGGGGATTAGGACCCCCCACCCAGCCAAGGCACTCTGTCCAGCCCTGACCCCAGCAAGGGGCTCAGCAAGAGTCTCGGTGCTGACTCAGGGCTATCCAGGGTGATGTGCAAGGGGTGTTGTCACAGCAGCCGGGTCCCTGCTCTTTGGCCCTTGGGAGGGGGCAGCGCGGGACAGCCACCCCGTGCAGCTGCGGTCCCCAGGCAGCCATGCAGTCCAGGGCTCTGCGGTCCCTGGTAGCCTACCGTGAGCGACAGGGACGGAGCCACCCTGCCTCTGCCAGCTCCCCGGCCCCTCTCTGCTGTCACCTTTCATTGTGGGTGCAGGGATGCTCTTGGCAGCCCCAGCTCCGAGCACATGGGCAATGGGATGTGCTTTGCCTGGGGTCAGCCACCCATCAGCACGGGTGTCAGGGAGATGCCCAAGGAGCTGTGGTGGGTCTGGATGTGTGTGTCACTGCGAAAGGGGCTCTGCACCCATCTGGGATGGGGGACAGCAGCAAGTCCTGTGTGCAGGGTGCGTAGACACTGGTTGTGTACATGCATATGTATACCACCCCCTCACACCCCTGCGCTGTCTCGCACACCCCTCCTCTCCCCACATCCTCCGCACTCTCTCACACATGCCTTGGGAACGGTTACGTCCGCCCACGCTCACATTGGATGTGTAAACGCAGCACATGGCTGGCTGCACTCGCATGCACAGGCTGCTGGGAGATTGCTCCTGGGGACCCACACGCAGAACCCCCGGGCACGCTAATGTGCTTGTACGCTGGCTCCCCCACCAGCTGAGGGGGTCCCCCAGTAGCCCCGCAGGCCCTGAGTGCCAGGAGGGAGGTGATGCTGGAGATGCTCCTTGCAGCCCAAAGTCCGTGGGGATGTCTGTACAGGAGGAACAGGAGGGCAGGGGGAGGGACCTCCCGCTTCTCTGCCACTCCGAGGTGCTTTTGCTCTTCCTTGCAGCTACCTGGATGGAAACCAGTTCACTCAGGTCCCAGGGCAGCTCTCCACCTTCAAGTACCTGCAGCTTGTGTAAGTAGCCGGGAGCAGGAGCCCAGGCAGCCAGTCTCCACCGCTGGGACCTGTGGGTGAGGACAGGGGCTGTCCCCGTGGTGGATGATCCTGAGGAAGGGCCTGGCAGTGTGCAGGGACCCCTGACAGCCCTCTGTGTCCCCCCTCCGCACCGGGACACAGCTGGCTGGCAGTGATGCTCAGAGGCAGAGGGTGACAGTGGCATTGCTGCCAGCACCCTGTGTGACAGCCCTGCTGCTCACCTGGAGGCCGTGCTATGCTGCTGTTCGCACCCCATTGCAGATGAGCAGTGTGGGGGAGCAGTGATGGGGGACGGGGCCCAGCTGGCTCCAGCCCCTGGGGTTTCTGTTTTCCAGTGATCTGAGCAACAACAAGATCAGCTCCCTGAGCAACTCCTCCTTCACCAACATGAGCCAGCTCACCACCCTGTAAGTGCAGTCCCTGCCGCATGCCATGCCAGGCTGCAGCCCAGCTGAGCTGCAGGGGGCTATTCCTAGGGGACCCCAAAGATGGGGGGTGCTGGGGACACCGGGGTCTCCCCTCTCCACCTAGATGAAGCTGTGGTTTGAGGTGGAGCTCTTGTATGGAGTGGCTGGGGGATCATGCAGCCCAGGGTGGGCTTCTAGCAGCACACATGGTGGTGCCCCTGGTGCTGCGTTGCCTCCTCCTTCCCTTCCACAGGATCCTCAGCTACAACTCCCTGCAGTGCATCCCGCCGCTGGCCTTCGAGGGCCTCCGCTCCCTCCGGCTGCTGTAAGTACCTGCCCCCAGTCCTGCTTGGCCCCTTCTCTGCTGCTGCCTGTGTCCCCTGTGCCAGCTTGGAGCTGGGTGCAAGCAGGCAGGGTACAGGCTGCAGGAGGAGCAAGGGGAGATGCATCAGCCTCTCAGAGCTGATGGTGCATTTGCAACAGTGACAGTGCGGTGGGGTCCAGCTCTGCCACCCCCACCTGGACCCGTGGGGTGGGGGCAGCCCAGCTGGCTGTGGCCCTTGCTGCGCACCCTGGAGCCGTGGGGATCACAGGACCCTCTGTTCTCTGTAGGTCTCTCCATGGCAATGACATCTCCAGCCTCCCCGAGGGCATCTTTGCAGACGTCACCTCCCTGTCCCACCTGTGAGTATGTCCCACTCCACAGGGCCCAGGGCTGGACGCAGGCTCTGGAGACCTCTAAAAACCATGGGGCTGAGCCCAGATTCTCTAGGGGCTGAGCTGCCTCTTATCTTCTTCTCTGGGCTGGTATTTGGGCAACATTTGTCGGGCAGTGCCATGCCTGCCCTCCCCTTGCTCAGCTCACAGGTCCAGGCGTGGATGACTCTGTGGTCCTGGCTAGAGGTGGCATGAAGTCCCCCCCACCCCACCAGGTCTCCCAGGTCCCCTAACATGCAGGTCAAGCCATGCAAGGTGCTGGCATGGCCGTGGGTTGGCAGGGGCTGCTCTGACCCATGCCAGTCTGTTGTTAGCCTCCTGCCAGGGTGCTTCCCTGCAGCAGCACCCCCAAACGTGTCATTAAGCATCCTCCTGCCGGTGCCAGTGTTTCAGCCCCTCTTTGAGGGAGACCCAGGAGTGCAGCCCCATATCTACTGCCTGGGGTGGGGGTTCAGCTTTGCTCACAGTGACTTTTTGGTCCCTTCCCTATCCCTGCTAAGCTGTTCCCACCCGCCTGCCAGTGTCTGGTCCTGCTCCTGGCATCCCGGGGGTCTGAGGCTGTTCCTCCAGCCTGCGGAGAGCATCTTGATTCCTGACCTGGCCTCCCTGCATTTTTTGGGAGCAGCAGTTAAACTGTTTGGTCTGGTCTTGCTTGGCTCTTCACCGATTTCCCTTGCTGAAGCACGGTGCTGCCTTTGCCACTCCCAGCTGGCATTGCCAGTTCCCGCAGGGCTGAGCTGTGTCACCAGCCGGCGCTGTCGGTGCAGTAGGACCAGGCTTGTCAGCCCCAGCAGATCTGCCGTCCCTGCCGCCTGCCTTCTGGGCTGCCGTCTTCTTCCTTCGTCACAGGTGTCGATCGCACCAGCCCTCCATCACCGCTGACCTTTGCAGTGAAGGAGGATGCAAAGATGCATCAAACCCCTCAGTCTCCCATGTCATCCCTGCCCTGCTATGGAGCAGAGCAACCCTCCCTCCTCCTCCTACTCTCTCAGAGCAATTCCTGCTCTTCCCCAGTACTGTGCCCATGGGCTCCGGCTGTCACCTGCTGTTTGTCCCCAGCAGCCCACTTCTGTGTCCCTGCCCTGCAGGCTTGCACAGCAGACCCCAGGCTGGCCCCGCAGCTCCCGTGCGATGGTCCTGTTGTTTCTGCACAGCCCCAAGGTGCTTTGCTTAAGTGCTGGAGAGGGACCCCTGGGGATTTCTGTGCAGGCAGCCAGAGGAGAGCCCCAACACGGAGCCACGGGGCACTGCATGGGCTGTGGGGCTGGCAGGAGGGTCATCCACTGGGCACCGGTAGAGGGGCTGAGCATGTGCCCTGGTCCTCCCACTGTGGGCAGTATCTGGTTGGTCTGGAGATGGAGGCAGCCCAGCCAAGTGACCAAGTCCTGTCCCGTACCCAAGGTCTCTGAGCACAGTTCCCTGCCTGGGGCAGGGGGTACAGTTTTGCCTTTCCTCCCCCTGCAGAGCCATCGGGGCCAACCCCCTGTACTGCAGCTGCAACCTGCGCTGGCTCTCCAGCTGGGTCAAGACTGGGTACAAGGAGCCAGGCATCGCCCGCTGTGCTGGGCCCCCCGACATGGAAGGCAAGCTTCTGCTCACCACCCCTGCCAAGAAATTTGAGTGCCAAGGTGAGAAGTGACCACGCTGTCTGTCCATCCATGCCCTCAGGCAGAGTAGGAGGCACCGTGGGGAGCTGGGCTGCCTCCTGCCCCACGCCCAGCTGGGCGATGCTCTGTGAGTCTGGGAGACTCCAGCATTTCATCTGTTGAGCTGCCTTGTGGAGGAGGGTGACTGGGATGCTTCTGTCCCCTTACCTGGCTGGTGGCATGTCCCCGGTGACTGAGCAAATTCGTGGCTGTTCGTTGCATGGTGTACAACCCCTCAGCAGGGCAGGCTCTGCTCCCAGCCATGACTGGGGCTCTT